AAATTCAGCAGGTTTCTTGAAATGAGGCAATTCCAATGATACTGAATTCAGAATCAGATTCCTGCTGTAACCCAAGCAGGTCCTGAGAGGTCCAGCCTGAACAGCAGTGACAAATCTAATTTTTAAGCTATCTATGTATTTGGATATCAGTGTTTTCCATTAAAAATCAAAGGGAACTTGTGGCAGTAGGAAAGGGAGGACTGGAGAAGAAAAAAATGAGAAAATAAATAAAATGCAAAAGAAAATTTGTGTAGAAGCAAGCAAAGAAGGCTAGAAGGGAGAGCCAGGAAATGGGGAAGAAGAGGAATCAAGGCATGCCATGTACAAGTTCCCCATGATAAAGGTCATCATTATGTGTACCTAAATTGTACCAGTAAACACACTTAAACTTAAAAAGCCCCTGAGCATTGTAGAATAGGGACATTGGAAGAAATTATGAGGAAAGCATCGTCTGGCAAGCCATCAGTAGGCCACAGCTGAAGCACCTGATAAACCGCACGCACGTCACTGCTTCTTTTGAAGAGCGCCTCCTGCATCTAATGAGGTGAGGAAGGCGCAGTTGCCCTGCTCAGGTTTCTTTCACTGACTTCTCTGAGACAGGGCTCAAGGGCTCCAAAGCAGTGTCCTTCCATTTGCACTGAGCAGCCCACTTATTCCCTAGGAGGAAACATTTTTTTCCACAAAGAGTGAACTATTCCTCTTTGGGATCTAAATTTGCTATGGAAGTTCTTCTTTGCTCTGCATTTTCTGTGAGGCTTTTAGCTGTGTTCTTCTTTGGAGAATCCAACCAAAGTGAGCTGTGTGTGCTGCAAAGAGCGGCCCTGTCAGGTCCAGGTGTGTGCAATCGGGGCGCAGCCCCTCCACGGGGCCCGATCAGCCCTAGTTAGTGGCTTCCCCTATATAAAGGCAATCTAAGCAGAGCAGACATTTTCCCTGAGGATCGGGACTGAGCTGTTCCTGATTTAGTGAGAAGCGCGAGTGGGTTCTAGCCCGAGGACCCTCCCTCAGAATCTACAGATATTCACTTTCTGCACACCTGCCTTTAGGGGAATTCTCCCAGATAATTAAAAGTGAGTCTGACTTTTTTTAAAAAGTGAGTCCTTTCAGCTGTTAGTCCCTGTCGTATGAGAGTTCTGTCTCTTGCTCTTTAAAATGTATTCCATTAGTAGTTTCCTCCTCATTCTCCATTCCTAACTTTGATCATTCTGTCCTCTTTTTGTTTTTCACTTTAATCTTTGTCTTGTACTTGCTTCCTTAATTTTAAGATAGGTATTTAAGTTACAAAAACTTCCAATACAACTTTACTCTGCAGTCTAAATGTTTCAACTTAATGGCAAACTCTCCGTTGTGTTGGCCTTCTTTATGGCCACTTACCTACAAAACGTCACAGGGTATGTAATGAACAACACAGGAGATGGGCTTTATCATAGACCATTCTCCAGGGACGATTGGTGTCCACCTGCTTTATTCTAGTCGAGACCGATGAATAAAGCGTAGTTCTTTTCTGTATCTCTCTGTCCCTCTATATATTCATACAATCTCTAACTCTGCACACTTTGGAAGAGTTGCTTCTATGGCTTTCTGAGGTCCTACATGTAAAGTAAGAGCATGAGCGCAAAATACTTTCCAGAGGACAGATTTTTAAGTTTGTTGTGTAATTGCAAATTGCACAAAATGTGATACTGTATAGAATTTTTACTTATTTCTATTTTTTATAAAAATGACTCTAAAATATTTAAAGGAACAACTCAGCAACCTTTATTTTTATTTTACTAATTGTGACTTTTGTACTGGACATTATTTTGTAGTTTTGTTTTATTTATCAATTTTGTACATGTCCTACTTAAATTTTAGTTTTCCCCCATGCCTTCACGCATGCCAGTAGGACAGAGGATACAGTAAGCCTTAAACAGATTATTTTGCAAAGTTTATATACAACAAATCATGTGATATTTTTATATGTTTATATATTCCATGTAATAGTATAGCTGCAATTCATCCTTTTTCCTACCAGTGTGTCAAATTAAACTCTCTGTACTACAGAATGGTGATCCTTTTGATTCTGTTGCAGGCAGCTGAGTTGAGTAGAAATATTATAGGGAGTCAGAGAGGGCCAGGCCCTCCAAGGAGACACCACAAGAGACAAGCTACCTTACACTGTGGGAGGGACAGATGCTCCTGCTGTGAGCCAGCCCTAAAACAAACAAATGCTCACCTCCCTAAAGAATAGCATCCAGGATCAATCACTACCCTGAGGAACCAGAAAGAATCCTTATCTGATTCCTGTTTTACATTCATGCCCCCTTGCTAAGGGACTCCCTTCCACATTTGGTCTCAGACTTAATCAGTTTTACCTGAGCAATGGTGCTTGTAATCCCATTGGGTGACCATAGTTTTGCCCCACCCCACTTCCACCTAAGCAAGTTCCCATTCTCTCACCTTAGCCCTGCATGGTTTCACACTATAAAAGTCCTTGGAAGAGACAGCTTCTGTGGGAACAATCCACTCGGACCCCCGCTCCTATCCCTGTCTCTGACAGGAGCTTTCTTTCCCTCACTAAATATATTCTGCTCATAACCTCCATTTGTTCCTAAAATTCATTCTTTGGTTTTAGAGAAAATGAACTCGTGCAGGTCAGGTCTGGAGATCATTGTTCCTTATGTCATCTGGAGGTTCCCTGTGTCATTTGGAGGCCACCCACCCGAGATCAGTTTTTCTCCCTGTATCAATCCCATAAACCTCTAATCACTTAAAATATTTATTTTAATCATTCCTTGTGTTCTGTTCCCTTAAGACTATTCCCCATACATTTCTGTAGTTTTGTTTGTCTTTTTAATGTGTTTTAGTACAGGTTCTCAAGGGTCTCACTACACAGATTGCACTCCTGGCAGTCCTCCTGTTTTCAGCCTCCCAAGCACCGAGATCACAGGCACACGCCACCACACCCAGTCTCCTTCCCACCTCAGCATGCCCCAGGGGCAGAGCTGGCACTGTGTACCTGGGGACTGAACCTAGTGGCTGCTAGTCTGCTGAGTAGTTTTTCTTTCGTTCTTCTCTTTTCCTTTTTCCTTTCTTTCTTTTTTAAACATCATCTGTTTAGCATTTTACCTGGAGTTTTTAATTTTATGTCACTTGTAGACATTTTGAAACTTTAATAAAATATTTTAGGATTTTCTAAATATCTCTACATTTCTACCCTTAAAATTTATAACTTTTAAAACTTTTTCTACTTTTATTTGATACTTGTATGCATATATAATACATTTCACATTATGCATAGAGAATCATTTCATAATCAGAATCTAAGAAGTTATTCTTAGATTATATGTTGGCAAATTTTCCAATCCAAATTGCACTTCACCGATGCTTTGAAATATTTTTTATATTGTATTTCAATTTCATTTCCATGGATGCTTGCAAAACAATCAGAAGACAAATTCATGTTAGTGTTGTGTAAAAGCACATGGTCTTCTGTGCTCCAACTGAGGACTCAACCCTGGGACTCTGTGGAGGACTTGACCGGAGTGGCTACCGCGATGAAGGGGAGTCCCTGCCGGGCTGCTTCCAGCCTCTTCCGTTACTGTTTCTTTCCTGACTGACAATCGGGGGCAGAGTTGGCTTTGTATAGTTATGCACAGCGGCCTCAAGGATTACTGGTTCCATCCTTCTTTCTGAATGAGCAGATCTCCTGTCACGCATGAGTGCCTTTTCTGCACTGTTACATCTCTTTCCAAAAAGCTTGGCTCAAAGACAAATAATTTGCCAAAATTAGCTTCAGTTTGCAAACACATCAGCAACAAATATGACTGCAGGTGTCTTCCCCACATAAATGCTAATTGCTCTGTTGGTTTCATACAAATTTTATTAGCTGTAATTTATTGCTCTACTTACCTTGAAACAATGCACTTTGGGTATAAGCAACTGTACTACTTTCCAAGGATTCAGAAAATTAAAAAACTTGTTTATTTTGGGAACAGACGATGCAGTGTATTTAACACATAAAGCATGTTCTCAGGAAACATATTCAGTGTTGCTAATGTCACAGAGGGTTTCTGAGTGTTGTCTTCTACAGAAGGTGACATTGATGTGACCCTGTTAATATTATCGCAACAGCTCCTGTGATTTCACCCAACCTAAACGGGACATTTGCATGGCAGAGAAAGGTATTAAATGGCACTTTTAATCCTACAGTAGAAATGGAAAATTATGATAAAATATCAGTCAAGCGTAGTATTGACTCAAACTAGTCTGAATGAAATACAGCAGTTTTTTCTTTGATAATGGTAGAAAAATATCTCAATAGTATGTACACTGAACTGAAAATGTGAAGACTAATAAAGATTTTTGAGTATTCTTCCAGAATTTAGCTTTGGGTATGGGGGTGGCAAATGGAAAAATCTGAATCAATGTACTTGAGGATATGAGACAAAGGAGAAAGCTCTGGTGAAATGGTCTTATTGGGCAGTAAACCACGTCTGTAGAAGCGACAACATCAGGGGGCTGGGGAGATGGCTCAGTAGGATAAGCGCTTGACTGGCAAATGCAAGGATCTGAGTTCAATCCCCAGTTCCACCAAAAAAAAAAAAAAAAAAAGAAGAAGAAGTGACAACATCAAGACCATGAAGTGGAATTTATACAATAAAGCAAACAGAAGACAGGAAAATTGATGCATAAAGGAAAATAAGAGTCTTGACTAAGGGGAAAAATCTCATGAGGCATAAGAGGAAAAAATAGAGAAAATAGGCTCAAAGAGAGATTAGCAGCATGGCTGATAGTCAAAGATCGGTCATCCACCTCTAGGAGACAAGGGGTGATGACAGTGAGAGAGGAAAGAAGAAAATCACCAAACACAAGCCTTAAAAAGATCTTAAAACCTTGTGCGTGTGCTCGCTCCCTTGCTCGCTCTCGTTCTTTCTTTCTCTCTCTCTCTCTTTCTCTCTCTCTCTCTTGCTCTCTCTCACAGACACACACACACATACACACAAAATTATAATTTTAAAAATGACAAACAGGAATTAAAGAACCCAAAGGTAGAGAAGTGAAAGTAAAATTTTCTGTTGCCTGAAGCCTGGCATTAGGATCTGGGATCTAGACGTTGTGCAGTGTCCAGCTGAAGCAGGCTCTGTTATCACCGGTAGGCAAGGCAGGCAGGCAGGGCCCGATCTGTGCCAGGCAAGCATCAACAGGGCAGCAGGAGGAGGAGAGTGAGGAAATGCTCTTTCTGGGATTTGCAAATCCATAGAAATTCATGGGGAAGCAGCCCTTCGGGCATGAGTTAGGGGCCACAGTCACTGAGATTATAACACTTCTGAAATTGTTACTTTCCAGGGTTTGGATCCCAAAGTTTGGAGTCACTGATTTTCTGCTGCTTACAACACGAATTTTCAAGTAGTCTGAAATTCTTCTCATCAATTTCCATGTTTTCATCTTGATTGCCCCGTCAGTTAACTTCTACAGGAAACTACAAATGGCAGCACATCAAGAGGTGAGTCAGTAAACATTCACAGCACATTGTGAGTCCTCCCAAGAGGAGGTACAAAGTATTAAGTGCAGATAGAGGAATGAAGGCATCTGCAGTCCAGTATGTTTCTTCTGAACAGTGAAGCAGTTCTCCTAGGGCTGAGCATCATTCGGATCTCATACAAGCCCATGCGTATGTATACATGATTTGTGCACTTTCATCTGTTTCAGGGATGTGCTCATCCACACTTCGCAAGACACATGCAACACGTGTTCTGTCTCACATTCAGCTCTTAGCATAGTTTGCAGTTATTGCCTCCTTCCTCATGCCGTTCCCTGCAATGCTGTTAGCACTGTGGGGAGGTCACGGCCAGGAGAGGAGTAGGAATGAGCAAACACGGCTCCCTGGTTCATGTCATTGTTCGGTCTACAATGTGGAAAAGATTTTAAAAGGTTCTGTAGAGTCCAGATGGGTAATTAATAGAGCTTATGTAGACATGAAACAAGGAATCATTTACAATCTAGTGTGTCTCTGAAAATCAGACAAAACTTAAGCTTTTGTTCAAAGATTTCCTTAGAAGATACTCCTAAAGCCTACTCTGCTGCCAAAGTGAGAAATAAGCTTGAGTCATTTGTAGAAAATGAGATTCACGCTGTGATCATTCAAGCGAGATAAATCAGACACATGCATGTAGACACACCTCACCAAAACATGTTGAACATTATTGAACAGAAGGCCTTGTATAAATATTTTACTACTTTATGGAGGCATTAAATGATTAATACAAGGTTTTTTGGCCTCTACAAGTGTATTGTGTTCTCAAAATTAAGGTGACTATTTTCCAGACAATTATTAGC